GTACTACAAGTATAAGTGCTGCTTTGCATAGGAACAGTGTAAATAAATATTATAATAGAAATGAAGAAGAAGATGAAATTATCGAAGAAAAACAACAGTTGATAACCCATTATTTATTGACGCGCGTGTGGATTCCGCAAAAGGGCGTAGATGAATTGAGTTCTTTGCGTGAACCTCATAAGAATACCTATGGTAACAGTCGAGCTCCAGGAACTATGACATGGAGTGGAACTCCAAATAGCACAGTTTCTAACGCAAATGGTGCACATCGTGTAAGCACTGGAAGTACTGTTGGTGGAAGTGGTACAAGCACTAATACAAGCAGTGGTGAATCTCGACCGCATAGTGACGAAGTAACAGATACTATTCAAAATACTTCAATTACTTCAAAATTAGATAGGGCTGGGCCCATTTCTGACAAAGAAAGTGGTAGCATAAAAGAAAAAAGAAATATCACTGAAAAAGTTGGAAGCTTCTTTTTTGGTTCTCGAAGTAGTTTGGATAAAACAAGGGACGAAAAGGAAAAAGATGAAAAGAACAAAAATGGAGATGTAGATACTGATTCTCTATATGATGATTGCTCCGAAGAAAGTATTAGAACTCAATCTGAACAAACTAACAATAAAAGAGCAAGTTGGCGTGCTATGAGGGTAATGTTTGGAGGGCATGAAACCAATGAACCACTAAAGAGTCCTACCGCTATGATAAGATCTTCGTCCCATTCCAGAAGTTCGTCCAGTGGAGAATTGCATCCAAAAAATCATTCTGCGACTTTTATAAAGTCGCATGGACGTACATCTTCAGCCAACCCTAAATCTTTTACATCACGCAGATCGTTAGAAGAGCCTCGTTCTTCTGCACCTCCGCCATTACTTCCTAAACCACAAACTTTAATGCAACGTAGTTCAAGTGCTTCATCTGCAAATAGTATGGGTTCAAGTGCTAGTGCTACTAATACAAGTATTCCGGGAAAACGTAGTAGCACTGGCAATACCATAACACTTGGAG